TTTCTGAAAAAGAAGAGAAATTCATAACTGAAATGAACCTCTCCTCCTGTAATTACACTAACCTCCACTTCAATCCCGTGCATCAGTGCAGAACCCTCTTTCTCCCAGATGACACCTGCTTCCGACCTAGCGAATTCCGGCTCTGCCGCTGCAAGAAACGGCGCCGTCTCCGGCGTGCTCGAAGACTCGTTCTTGTCCACTCCTCCCTCCCGTCTCCTTTCGACGCCCTTTCCCTCACTTCTCTCGATTCTTTTGTTCCGACAGCGCTCGGGCTCGCCTCCGGACTTGCTCTATATTTGTCCTCGCGGTTTGGGAAATCTCCGCGACGAGGCGGCGATGTCATCGGGGATTGGATTCTGTTCACAAGCCCGACTCCTTTCAATCGCTTCGTAATTCTCCGCTGCCCCTCTGTGTCCTTCGAAGGAAGCAAGCTCCTCGAAGATGTTAATGAGAAGCTCGTGAAGGAGGAGAGACACTTCGTGAGGCTCAACGCTGGTGTAATTCAGGCCTGGAGCACCGTTGATGTTTTTGAGAATGACAGGTTGGAGTTCCAGCGAGAGTGCATAAGCGCGAAGGACGGCGGCGTCGTTTCCTTGGATTGGCCCGCCAATCTGGACCTCGAGGAGGAACACGGATTGGACACAACTCTGTTGCTGGTCCCTGGAACGGCTGAGGGAAGCATGGATAAAAGTGTGCAGTCCTTCGTGTGTGAGGCTCTCAAGCGCGGTCTTTTCCCGGTGATTATGAACCCCAGGGGTTGCGCTGGTTCCCCGCTTACTACGGCACGGTAAGCTCCTTCTCTCTCTCTCTCTCTCTCTCTCTCTCTCTCTCTCTCTCTCTCTCTCTCTCTCTCTCTCTCTGTTGGCCTTTAATTCGTTAGCTGGTAGCTGTCTATATTTTTTGGGTTTGCTTGGTAGTATTGAAGGGGATTGCTTGCTTCTGTTATATGGTATAATATGTCAAATGAGCAAAATACGAAGAAAGGATGCTGGTGGTTTCAAGGTGCTGCTAGTGACCTGACAGAGTGAGTCATGTTTGATGCTTTGTTGCAAAAAATGATGCGCTAGATAAAACAATGAGTAATGCAGGAATTGCATCTAAATCCTTCAGCTTAATAAGCTTTCCAACAGTTGAGCTAATATGAAACTGACCAATAATGTCTTTCAAGCATCTATACTGAAACGCCCTTCTTTCATGCATCATGTCCATATGCTTAGAGGAAGGTATGTAGTTCTTCAAAGCAAACAGAATTCACAGGATGGAACAGCAAGCAAGACCTCTAAGCCAAAATGGCTTGTAAAGATACTTAATTGATTAAGTCCTGAACCTTAAGCTAAGCATCATCCTCCTTTGCATGTTGCTTCATAGGACAGCTAAACCCACTTTGAATATTGGGAAATTAACCCTTTACAGTACATGGTTTTATGTGCGGATGCACATTTTTGTATTTATCTCCCCAACTCAATACTGTAACATGACACATTAGAGAAGCACTCACTGTGTGAGATTTTTCTGTGCGCTTGTAGTAAATAAGATTGGTACTCAGTGTTTATCTACTGTGGCCTTTCTCATTAGAAAATCCTTGTGAAAACCATACAAGAGTAGGGCCCCTTAACTCATTCATTTATGTAGGTTATTTACAGCTGCTGACAGTGATGACATCTGCACAGCTATAAAATACATCAATAAGGCAAGGCCATGGACAACATTGATGGGTGTTGGCTGGGGATATGGTGCAAATATGCTAACAAAATACTTGTCGGAAGTTGGAGAAACAACACCTCTTACAGCTGCAGTAAGCATAGACAATCCTTTTGACTTAGAGGAGGCCACAAGGTCCTCCCCTCATCACATTGCCTTGGATCAAAAGCTTGCTAGTGGACTTGTGGACATACTGAGATCAAACAAGGTAAGTGATTGTATTAGAGATTGCAGTTATAAAAAAGGAATGTTTCTTTTCTTATGCTTTAACTAGCATCAGTAATTCGCTCCATATGAATAACTTCTTCCTAATAGGAATTTATGTGAAATGAATTCTGTAGGAACTATTCCAAGGCAGAGCAAAAGGCTTTGATGTGGAGAAGGCTCTTTCTGCAAAATCAGTTCGTGAATTTGAACAAGCAATATCCATGGTATCTTATGGTTTTGAGGCCATAGAAGACTTCTATTCAAAATCTAGCACACGTGGTGTAGTTGGGAAGGTGAAGATTCCTCTTCTCTTCATACAGGTACATGCCCTGTACTTATATTGCAGGTTTTTTTTTTTTTTTTTGAGTTTTGCCTGGACAAATTGTTTCTTAGTAATTTTTCTGTCACTTCCTTTTAATTCTCTAAATGCATAACTTAAAACTTCTAAAAACTGTCCTTAAGATGTCCTGAGCTAACTAAGGATGAGAGACATGACTTGCTGATATGGTCCTAGTTTCTTCTTAGTTTACTGCAATAGAGAGAGCAGTAAAGCCAACTTACATGGCTTACAGACTGCTATTAAGTTGGGCTGTTCAAGCTCATGAATAAAACTAGAAATCTTGCTGCTCAAGTTTGGCTGGTCTATCTCATGAGACTTGTGAGAAGGTATCTCACGCGCATGCTCGTGCACAAACACATGCACAGATAAATTCTTACACAAGTATAAAGCTGAAGTTGCACACTTTTCTCTCTGGAGAATTTAAGCATATACTTGGTCTTCTATCTCATGTTAAATAGGCCCAATAGTTGCAGATTTATGTACAGTAAGATAATATGCATTATTATCTCTAATTGGCACTACTTTGCAAGCCAGTTACTCTGCTGGTCTTAGCTTGGTCAGTATTTAGCAGAAATTTGCTGCTCCTAAAGAACACAGAGAAGACAAAAAAAATCTAACTAGATGTTGTTCTGTAATTTGTTAGAATGATGATGGGACAGTGCCACTATTTTCCCTTCCACGTGGCTTGATAGCAGAAAATCCTTTTACAAGCCTCCTTTTATGCTCTTGCTCACCTTCAAGTGTTATTGGCCATGACAGAGCTGCAATATCTTGGTGCCAAAATCTTTCAATTGAGGTAACAGCTGGATTCTTTCCTATTTCACTTCAGTTAGAAATGGAATTCCTAGCTGAGGTTTGTTTCGAGAATTGGATAGTGCTTATTCTGTAAAAGGCATGCTAGTGTAGAACCTTGTTTGCCATTTCTAAAGTTAAGTTTACATGGGGTATACTAAAGCAAAATCAAAGGTTTTTTTTTTCTTTAAAAAAATTGTGCTTGAGAGATAGCTTATCTATGTAGAAAACTATTAAAAGGATTTTAAGAATCCCCTAGTTGAGGGTTGTTTCCAGCAGTTAATGGTGGTTGTGCATTGTTAAAAGAAACCACTACTAAATCTGATGCTGGTTCTGCTGTTTAATATTCACTTTTCCCATTGAGATTGGTTATGCAGTAAGAAGTGTGAATGAATTTTATCTCATTCAAGCTTACAAGAGTACTTTATTAACCAATCTTCAATTGAAAAAAGTGAAAACTAAATTGCAGACCAACTTTGGACTTGAGCTACTGGATTACTTTGTTAATGTCCAATCTAGACGAATGATCTACAATCTCGTAAGGTTTACATATCTGAAATGTTCTCAAAACTAGTTATGGAAGAACTATGATTAGTAAAAGGGATATCCAATACTAAACCAATTATTACCATCCTTAATTAACAAAAGCCTTTGGCTTTATTTATACCGTTGCCCATTTATGAGCAAAGCATCTTGGTTCTGATACTTAATTACATTGTGGACAGTAACCCTTAAAACAATCTAATTAAATAAAAACAAATTTAGAATATTAACCATAATTAAATAAGAAACATAATTAAAATAACACTAAGCTATTAATCTACTTAGAAAGATAAATATAAAATAAATATTAATTCTTTAAATATCAAGAATAGTAATTTTTATAATTTTTCTCTGCATGATTCTCACCTATCTAAATATTTCTACTGTCATTTTTTTAAAGTATAAATGCCTGTTTTAGGTTTATCTTCCTCAATAGGTTTGTTGTTAAAGAGTTATTTTATTCCTAACTGACCTATCTAAGTGTATGACATTGCAATGATGAATTTGAAGGAAGATGCTTCCACATGTTTCTTTGAATCTTTTTTTTCTACAAATGCAATTCAATATTTTGTTATAAGTGTGAAGTGATGCTTTCTAGTTCTTAAATAGAGGAAACTAAGGTGTGAAACATAAGAATAGAAATAGCCTAGAGGAAATTGAGGATCAAGATGAAGAAATACATTGAGAAGTTAATCGAATGGGATAGGGTAGACAGAATATTAACCAAAAAGACAAACTTAAGAGAGAGACAATGGATAATAAAACACTAGCAAAGATGATTCATCATCATTTATCTATATTTACTGATAGCTACTAACTTTTATATAGGCGTTAGTCACAATTAATAAGAAAAATTATAAAAGAAATTTAAGGTATTCTATATTCTTAATTGCTTAAAATCTAAACCTAAAAAACCTAATAAAACTAACAAACAGTAATAATAATGACAAAAAAAATTCTTTAATAGACAGCTTAGTCCAAATTAAGACCTTTTTGTTCTGCATTGTTTCACCTCACTTGGTGAAAACTCGACTGAGTTTTGAAGTGGTGAAATATCAAAATAAGAAATACTTGAACATACTCCTCAGAATCTTCAAAAAATTGAGGTTTTTTTGATAATCTCCATAAAAACATCAAGTTGACCAAAATTATAAGTTTCATAGGATCCTAAACCAATGAGATAAAATAAAATCATCCTAAAACAATTTGCTTAATATAATCATCATAAACAATAACCACTTCAATAGTAGCGTGATGTGGGACAAGATAATTGGAAAGGAATAAATTTCTCAACATCCTTAGCATAAACAGAGCAAAATTTAACAAGAGCAATATTTTTTTGAGCTACCATTGGTGGTTTGAGAGAACTTCAAGTTTGGCTCGTTTAGTTTAGAAGATGCCTTAGTTGAGATTTTACACTCTTTTATATATTATTATAGAGTATCTCATAGTCTATAACTCGCATATAATCGA